TATATCTTTTGGTAGCCGGGCACCATCAGCTTTCTTTACCACTTTTGCTTATGCACCTGCTTTGTCTTCAGCAATCGTGTCGGGAAGGTGAGCACCATGGAATGCCAGTTTAATAGAACAAAGTGTTCTTGCATTGAGGGAGTCCTTGAGAAAGGCCCAATGTCGATCTGCTGCCTTCCTACTAAGCCTATAAATATATGCACATAGATCTATTTCCCCATTGTCATATATAAATATATTCACATAGGTACTGCACATGCTTGTATTTGGTTACATTGCCCTTGATCAAGCCCTACCAGGTCTCCTACACCCTCCTTGTCATCAATTTTAGATCACTTGTTGTTCCCTTGTCCCTGGGTTTGTTAACACCTACTTACTTTCCCCCACCTCCTCCTCCCATGTCCCCCAAACCCTGGTCCCATTGTTTTCACCTCCAGATTGTTCTTCCCACCTATCTTATCTAGATAGACCTGCAAGGACTTCCTTGCTCTGCTCCCCTTGCTGTTCTGTTGCACGCCCTTAGTGTTTCCCTCAGTGTGGGGGGGTCAGATCAGATGTAATTCCCACCACTCTCTCCAGTGTTGTCCCCGTATCGCTGTGGGTCAAAAAGGGACATGAGTCATGTCTTGTTGTGAGGCCGGCCATATGGTCCTCTATGTGCATTGGCGCCTCTGAGCAGGAATATCATCCTCAGGACTTGGTGGGCCAGGATGTGCTCCTCTTTCTTCCTCCCCCTTCATTTGCTCCTGTGTGCTTTGACCAGACATGTCACTCTCCCTGAGCTGTAGCTTCAGTGTTGTCCTCTGAAGTAAATTCTTCTGGGGGGAGGGACGGCTGTCCATGTAGTGGGGATTGGGGTCAACCTCTAAGACCTCTCTAATGGTTCCCTGCTTCATGCTGGTATGTTGCGTTCATATTTTGGAGCACCTGGTTGAAGTCTGATCCCTTTTTCCCTGTGGAGATATAAACAGTACCCTCCCCTTGGGTGGGTTAATGGCTTGTACTCCAGCTACCCATTTCTTTTTTTTAAAAATCATTTTATTGTGGCCCATTTCTTTTTTTTCTTTTTGCCCCCCTTCTTTTTAGTTGGCTACCATATGTATCCCTGGATTTGGTCTGGCCCCTGACATACTACCTGGACCTCACCCCAGGAATGTTTGTATACGGTAGCTTTTTCCCTATGCCCCTTTTGCATTTTTAAGCTTACCTCAGCAGGCTTATGTTATACTTGTCCTTTTGTGCTTGACTTACTTTGCATAGTATAATTTCCTCCATCTCTACCCATGTGGCGATGTGCTTCCTGCATTCATCGGTGCTTTTTAGGGATGCATAGTACTCCATTGTGTGTATGTACCACAGTTTTTTAATCTATTCATCTGTTGATGGAAATTTGGGTTGTTTCCAACCCCTTGCAGTTGTGAACTCTGCCATGATAAACACTGGAGCACAGATGCCTGGCCGTGGTTTGTTTCTTGCCTCTTCTGGGTATATGCCCAGTAGAGGAAATGCTGGGTCATATGGTAGCTCAATTTCCATCTGTTATAGATATCGCCATAGTGGCTCTACATACCTACAGGTCCACCAGCAGGGGATGAGAGTTCCTGTCTCCCCACAGCCCCTCCAACAGTTGTTGCTTTCTGATTTTTTTGATTGGGCTATCTTTGAGGGTGTTAAGTGGTATCGCATAGTTGTTTTAATTTGCATTTCTCTTATGGCCAATGATCGGGACCATTTCTCATATGTTAATTGGCCTTTGGAATTTCTGCTCCTGTGAAACTTATGTTCAGGTCT